TTGCAGGTAGAAACCCTCTGTTTGAAGGCATTAGTTTAATGCTTTGAGGTCTTAGTAGAGAAGGTTACCAAACTAATACCAAGTTCTTGTAGAGATTGTAGTTGATTACAATCTTAATTAGTGTAAAAGGGTGTGAGCCAAGAAAATGACAGACCTCTGAAATATAAAGGACGCTGCACTTTACAAAATATTATTAAGAGCTTGGAGACTCCATCAATCAGGTCCCCCTTTAGACCTAAGAAGGAGGGTTTCATAAAGCTGTAATACTGTTCATATCTGATTTTTTTTTTTATAGTTGGGGAGTGGAAGACAGAAGAACAAAAGAAAAGTTTGTGTGTGTGTGTTATAATTCTCCATTAAACTACCATGATCATGCAGGTATCTGGCAGATTTATGTTCCTTTAGACAGGTTCAGATTTCAGGCAGACCATTTGCAAGCTGGACCATGTGTCTGTGGTATTAGATTACAGAAAAATTGGACGGTAGCCAGGGAAATTTGTGCCACATGTCTTCAGAAATGGCAGTTTTGATTCTTTGAAGGCCCTGTCTCAAGGTTAGAGGAGGCAGGGTTGCCTTTTACGCTGACTTTGCTAGTGGAGATTTTGAGGTTGTTCTAGTGCTTGGTGATCAGCCAGCAGCAGGGGACCTAAGAATAAAAGAATATGGATTTCTGCTCAGGTGACAGCCAAGCTCAATTGAGGTTTCAAAGGATTTTCTTTCCCTGTTTTATTTTATTTTATTTTTGTAGTTATAGATGGACAGCATGACTTTATTTTATTTATTTTTATGCAGTGCTAAGGATTGAACCCAGTGCCTCATGTATACTAACCAAGCACTGTGCCACTAAGCTATAGCTCTAGCCCTCAAAGGATTTTCTTAATAGCTTTTCAGTTAAATAATCCTAAAGTATCTAGGGCCATGCCTAGCACACCAAAACTTCTCAATCAATGCCTTTTGCCTTTCTACCTACAGATTGCCTAATTCCCTAAAAAGTAACCATAAGCAGTCAGATTTTCCTGTAAACTGGTCCTCCTTTTTAATAGTATTTTCTTTTGTATACTTTTCTTGATGCTTTATCAAACATAGTAAGAATAAAAGAGAGATGGAAAGAAAGGGGAAATGGGAAAATAAGGTGTCTTACATATCTTGTCATTTAAATTTCCTTCTTATTCATTACTGTCAAAAGCCAAATTTTTATCCAGAGTAGCCCAGTCATCTTGTATGTGTCTGTGTGTTTACATGAATCCAAATTCAGGTCAGAGGCCACTCAAAGGGGGAAATGATCTGAGGCTTGGTTGCATCATTCAGGCCACAGACCAACTCTGAAGTTCTTTTATGGCAGCTTGTTTACTTGCTGCCTGCCTGGAATAGGCAGAGGAGAGTCTGCTGAATTTAAAAGTTAACAGTTTAAAATAATACAAATGATCTAATGTCTTACATCTATCCCTACCGGTGATAGAACATTAAAATACACTGGCTCTGGGCAAAGCTTCTTTGGAAAACAATCTAATGTTGCCATATAAAACTGATGATGCATACATACCCTATGACCCATGTTTTCCACTTCTATATATAACAGTCTGAGAAACTTAGGTATGTACCAGGCACTAGAATGTCCATGGAAGTGTTGTTTGTAATAGCCAAAACTGGTAACAAGATGGATAAATTGTGATATATTCCTTACACTCTATGAATCACATTAACACACAGTATAATTGTATTTATAAAAAGTTTAAAGCATGCAAAGCTAAGCAATATCTAAGAGCAAAATATGTGATAACACTTTAAAAAAAAAAAGGGGGGGGGGCCAGACATGGTTGCACAAGCCTGTAATCCCAGCAGCTAGGGAGATTGAGGCAGGAGGATCACAAGCTCAAAGCCAGCCTCAGCAATTTAGGAAGGTGGTAAGCAACTCAGTTAGACCCTGTCTCTAAATAAAGCACAAAATAGGTCTGGGGATGTGGCTCAGTGGTCAAGTGCCCCTGAGTTCAATCCCTAGTAACCCCCCCACCCCAGAAAAAGAAAGGGAATGAATGATAAGCACAAAATTCATGGGGGGAAGTTACCCCTGAGTAGGGGGTGGGGGAAAGGGGGTCAGGAAAGGATTCATGAAGTAGCAGTGCTTCGGAGGTAATGGTAATGACTGGATTGTATCAAAGAGCTCCCTGCTGCTCTCCCTGCAGGTCCTATTGCAAAGGCAACAGCAGTAGACCAATTTTAGGATTAGGATGTGTCTTTTTGCTTTATAAGTGTCAATTTAATTCCAGAGCCTCAACTCAATATTTTCTGATGATTATCTTCCCTAGAAGAGAAGGAAATCCCGCTGGGCAGCAGACTATGATGTTAATGCTTCCTCTGAAACGTACTATTTGTGCCCATAGCATAGCTTCCATCTCTCATTCCCTTGTAATGATCCAGATATTTTTAAAAACTATACTTTGGAGGATTCTTGGAATCATGAAAACTGCTAATTAGTCTGTTGACCAATAAAATCAGCTTTTTTCTTTCTTTTCTTTTTTTTTTTTTTTAACTATTAGAACAGCTGTGAGAACAGCTACCCTCTGGGCTGTCTTCCCAGTCATGTACATCACAGGTATTGTTCTACCACATGAGCAAGAGGAGTTGGTACAGGTTTGAACATCCTCATGATAGGTGACAGAAATTAGAAAGTACAGTCATATTTAGTTCAGGGAAATAGGGGTATCTGAATATAAGAGAAGAAGTTTTAAAAGGAAACAAACTGAACTTGAATGATCATAATATATGACTTTAGGCCCCACTTATCCAAGCACTCAGCTTGCGTCCTTGCTCAGCCACTCATTTGAGAAGTGTGATATGTTGTCTCCTCCTAGGGGTGGCTGGAGTTTATGCAGCTTAGAAAGAGTGAAAACCCCACCTTGCACCCAGCTAATTGATTACAGCTAGTCTTCATAAGAGCCTGACCTGCTTCCTACATGGGAAAGCACCCCTCTGCTAGGCAGGCCTGAGTCAGAGCCCCACCAAAGTAGCAGACAGACAGAAGGAGCTGAGAGCAGGTGCAGAGTTGAGAACAAACAGGGGGTCACATTAGTGCAGGCGCATGACTCGGCAGAGCTCGGGTGTGGCCCCAAGCCTGGGGCAAGTTGTTTTGGGCCAAGTTTTACATTCCACCCAGTGGTTAGGTAACTCTTAATAGGCTTGTAAGTAGTGGAGACCTGACTTAGTGGCCTGCTCACTGTGTAGGTGATCCTGGCCCACTACACAGCCAGCTTTCCCCTTTGGGACAGGACTTGGGGATTTTTGCTTCCTGTGAGTGTGTAGATTGAAATGAATCCCATCCCCACCTCAGAGCTTCTCTCCATGAAATAACCAAAGAGTAATTATGGAAAAGTGGTCCTTTCGTTCGCCTGCCTTTCTTTTCTTCCTTTTTTTTCAGTACTGGGGATTGAATCCGTGGCCCAGGGGCATTTTACCACTGAGCAACATCCCCAGCCCTTTTATTTATTTAGAGACAGGGTCTTGCTAAGTTGCTGAGGCTGGCCTTGAACTCATGGTCTACCTCAGCCTGTGCGCCACTGCACCTGGCCCATGTGCTTTTCCAAGTATCACCTTAGCTTGATTTTCTTATCCTAAGGTTCTTCTGAAAATGGCCTGTTCTTCATGTTTACCCTCTTCATTCTGTTGCAGAGCATTCTCTCCAGATTTATAAGCCCCACCTTTGTTTTCTAATTAAAGATCACCATCCTCCCCATACCTCCATGTCAGCCATTAACCCTGTATAAACTCCTTATCCCAGTTATGAGGAGTTGGTAATGGACTCCATTAGACTATTTCCCTTTGTATGATATGTATGTTTTTTGGTTTTAGGGTGTTTTTCTTCATTTATTTTTTGATACCAGGGATTGAACCCAGAGTCATTCAACCACTAAGCCACATCCCTAGCCCTTTTTTTTTATATTGTATTTAGAGACAGGTTCTCACTGAGTTACTTAGGGCCTCAGCCTCCCAGGCAGCCAGGATTACAGGCCTGGGCCACCATGCCTGGTGGGTTGTTCCCCCCACCGCCTGTTGTAGTTGTTAAACATGCTTATATTTTTAAATTCAAAGTTACAAGAATATAAAATAAAGAAACTAATAGCCTTCCCCAGAAGTATGTTTGCCTTCCTCGAAAGAATCACTATTACCAGTTGATGATCTTCCTCCAAATTTTTTCCTATACAAACATATACAACTTGCTTTTTACTTAATAGTGTGCGTTGAACATTTTTAACACAATTTTAACAGCCTCATAGCATGTAGATATATAAAGTATAATTTAAATAAATTATTTTTGGTGTCTAATTTTTAGTATCACAGTGTTATATTGAAGATCCTTATATGAATATATTTGTGCACTTGTAGTATTTCTCCAAGAAAAATTCTTAAAGGAAAATTGCTTTAAGGTTAAAAGATTAAATTTGGAGCTGGGCATGGTGGCACACGCCTGTAGTTCCAGCAGCTCGGGAGACTGAGGTAGGAGGATAGCAAGTTCAAAGCCAGCCTCAGCAACTTTGTGAGGCCCTAAGCAACCTGGTGAAACCCTGTCTCTAAATAAAATACAAAAAAGGGCTGGGGATGTGGCTCAGTGGTTAAGTGGCCTGGTTTCAATCCCTGGTACCCAAAAAAAAGGTTAAATTTGCCATCTTTGACTCAGTATGTTCTATAATTCACACTTACTATCAGTGTATAAGAGGGATTGTTTGGCCATACGATTATCAACAATGGTTGTTATCAATGATTTTATTTCCTGTCAAACTGGTAGATTAAAAAAAAAAGGACCTCATATTGATTTATTGCTATTTTGCTTTATTTTGGTTTTTGCTATTAGTAAAATTGAGCATCTTTTGAAATGTTTATTGCCTAGTTCTGTTGAGCAATGTAAGAACATTTTACAGGTTAAGCTTTATCTGGGAGTGATTTCCTGGGAGGGTGTTGATTATTTTCACAAACCAGAGTAAGTTATTTCCTGTGTACATCCACAGCAAACAGCGGCATAACAAACTCTGGAGATCTCATTCAGATAGCGACCTCTCAGACCACCATGAACCCATCTGCAAACCTGGGCTAGAACTCAACAAGAAGGAGATCACCACCTCAGCAGACCAGATTGCTGAAGTGAAGACCATGGAGAGTCACCCACCCATCCCTCCTGTCTTTGTAGAACATGTGATCCCACAAGATACAAATCAAAAAGGCCTGTGTACCAAAGAACGAATGATCTGCCTGGAGTTTACTTCTAGAGAATTTCATGCTGGACAGATTGAAGATGAATTAAACCTAAATGACATTAATGGATGCTCATCAGGGTGTTGTCTCAATGAATCAAAATTTCCTCTTGACAACTGCCATGCATCCAAAGTCTTAATCCAACCTGGACAGGCCACTGAAATAGCCAACAAGTTCCCAGACTTAACAGTAGAAGATCTGGAGACAGATGCACTGAAAGCAGACATGAATGTCCACTTACTGCCTATGGAAGAATTGACATCCCGACTGAAAGACCTCCCTATGTCCCCTGATCCTGAGTCACCAAGCTCCCAGCCCAGTAGCCAGGCTGAAATCTCAGATTTCAGTACAGATCGCATTGATTTTTTTAGTGCCCTAGAGAAGTTTGTAGAACTCTCTCAAGAAACCCGGTCTCGATCTTTTTCCCACTCAAGGATGGAGGAACTAGGTGGAGGAAGGAGTGAGAGCTGTCGACTATCAGTGATAGAAGTAGCCCCATCCGAAGTGACTATTGATGACCAGAGAAGCAGCTCTTTGAGTAATACTCCCCATGCATCTGAAGAATCTTCAGTGGATGAGGAACAGTCAAAGGTAAAAACTATTCTTATAGTTTACCATTTAATGAAGTTCTTTCCAAAGACAAAATATTTGAGGTTCTGTTATGGTCACTTTATTTTTATGTTTGTAAAGGTTTAGGAAGCAGGAAGGAGGAGATGGTCTACTAAGATTTTTCTTCAAAACTTAGGATTTAAATATTTTTTAAATCCTCAATTGCCTTTTGAGTATATTATCTTTTTTCAGGCCTTTGGTATCATTAGAAGCATTTCTGAGGGGATGACAGAGGAAAGGATTAGCCAAAACAAATGTCCAATGTCCTGGCTGAACAAGGAGAGATCCCCTTTGTGGACTTCTACAGTTTATATCAAAACTTACCAGTAATGAAGTGCCAGGGACTCAGATGCTGCCTGAATGGGACTTGTGCCTCCCTGAGAAGATAAATTTGTCTGGAAAATTCTCTTTGTCTCAGAAAATTCAAAAACTAGACATGAATAAATAGTTGTTGGAGTAGCAACTGATTGCCATGCTGACATCTCCCTGTTAATAAAGTTTCTGAATTTTTCAGATCCACTTGTATGATACTCAAGAATTAGAGACCTGGCCCAGTGGTGCACACCTGTAATCCCAGTGACTGGGGAGGCTGAGGCAGGAGGATCACAAGTTTGAGGCCAGCCTCAACAACTTAGCAAGATCCTATCTCAAATTTTTTTTAAAAAGGACTGAGGAGGGCTAGGGTTGTAACTCAGTGGTAGAGTGCTTGCCTAGCATGTGTGAAGCACTGGGTTCAATTCTCAGCACCACATACAAATAAACGAATTTAAAAAAAAAAAAGTCCATCAACAACTAAAAAAAAATATTAAAAAAAAGAACTGTGGACGTAGCTCAGTGTACACCACCCTTGTGTTCAAACCTCAGAAACAAAAAAAGAAGTAGTTGTAGAGTAGGGGTGGAGGTATACTCAGTTGTAAAGTGCCACTGGGTTCCATCCCCAGTGCCCCCCAAAAAAGGAGTTGGTTTGGGAAAATGAATTTGAGGAACAGACAGAATCCTAAGATTCTTTTTAGTCACATATAGTTCTTATAATAAGCCATCTTATTATAAGACCAGGGGAGAAAAATACTATATATTGTCACTTCTAAGACTCATTTTCATTTTGACAACTCCTAAAATTAGGATGCCTCTAACAAATAATGGTTTCTTAATACCATGCAGTAGTTGGAGAATAAATGGTGACAAATTTACTGTAACAAATTTTCACCTAATGATTTTAACAGAGCTGACTAGATTCTTGACATCTCCTTATTTACACTTCATAGTTAGCCCACCTTGTCCGTGACTCATCTGTTCTCTCTTCTTAACTACCCCAGAGCAGCTCTTGCCTCTCCTTTTCTTCCCTCATTCCCAAAGACTGTGCCTCTGTTTTGTTTCTACTGGGAAGTCAGAATACTTGAGCTCTCCTTTAGACTAGCGGGTGCAGCAGCGCTGACAGAAATAGCTTTCCTTCAGCATTCCTGGTCATATGAGTCCTCCCTTCATACTGGTGCACACACCAGGCTGGCTGTGGCATCTCTCTAGTGTTGGCAAGTTCATTTCTGCCTGATGTCCTGGCATATTTCCCCAAAAGGCATGACTGACCTTGTTTGTTTGTGCTAGCTCTGAAACTCTTTTGAAGGAAAAAAATGAGAACAATTCCTATGCAAATACTATACTTTGAAGTCTTACATAAAAGTGTTAACAAAGTAGATTGATAGAGTAATCCTTTAAGAGTATCCAAGGACCATTTTCAGATTTTGAAATTCTAATTTTTTTTACAGTAGGATCTGATTTTGCATTGGCCAATTTTCTTTGGTCTTTTTCTAAACCCATCTGGGAATTTGTAACTGGTAAAAGAGTAAAATGTCCAAGAGTGGTTGTTTCTAAGTTTGCTTAGGCACATGGCTGCATGAACAAAGGAGCCTTTTCCAGAAAGAACCCTGTGAAATTAAGGGATTGTGCAATCGGATACAAGGTGCATTCTCCCTGCCCTTCTGTTCTGGGATGCTGCCACTAGAAAGAGCAGGGAAAGATATGGATGAAAGTTAGCAAGACAGGAGATCACAGCCACATCCATCTTTCCCTGTCTCATGCTGGGCACGTCTAAGGTGGCCACTGAGTCTGAATGGAACTCTTCTCTTGAACAAGTTAGGATTCAAGCTGGAAGTTGATTAGAGAGGGAAGATTTCATTTACCCCAGGATAGCCTGAATTCTGGTGGCTTGTGGTCCTAGGACAATATAGATTATGGAAACTCCAAGCTAATTACTATTAAAGTAAGGTACTAGATTTGAATCCTGCTTGAGTAAACAGAACAGAAAGATTAGTAGACAGCAATACAACCTATAATGAGTATTCTTTCACTGGCCTTGATGAATCCCAGTTTTTTTCTTATAGTCTGACAAAACAGATAGGCAAAGTATGGTACCAGCCATTCCAGGACACATGTTCTCACAATCAGATAAATTCTCCTGGATCAGAAGATTAATAAACAGTACAGTAGCATTTTCAATTAGACTATTATATGCCATAATCTTCTCACTACTTCCTTTTCTTAGGCAATCTCAGAACTGGTCAGCCCAGACATCTTCATGCAGTCTCATCCAGAAAATGCAATTTCAGTCAAAGAAATCGTCACTGAAATTGAGTCCATCAGTCAAGGAGTTGGGCAAATTCAGATAAAAGGGGACATCCTGTCCAACCCATGCCATACACCAAAGAAGAGCACCATCTATGAACTGCCCCTTGAGAAGACCCAGGCCCCAGAGAACAAACCTGAACCTTTAGAACAAGATGAGGGTTTCTACACAACCCAGCCTGAACTAGCCAAAGACTCAGGGAAGTACAACCCAGAAAGCTGTCTCCGCACACACTCGTCCACAGCAGACTCGGAAGACGAGGAACCAGTTGAGGGGGAACACGAGCTGTGGGGCCCAGGGATGCAGTCAGGTGCCAAGTGGTGCTCTGGGTCTGTGAGGCGAGCCACCCTGGAGTTTGAAGAGCGCTTACGGCAGGAGCAGGAGCACCATGGTACCACCCCTGCATGTACCTCATTGTCTACTCGCAAGAATTCTAAAAATGATTCTTCCATGGCAGACCTGGCACCAAAAGGAAAAAATGATGAATCCACCCCAGAACATTCATTTGTCCCCGAGGAACCAGAGATGAACAAGGGCAAAGGGAAAGGCAGCGGGTCTGAGGCTGGCTTACTTTCCCATTGTGAGCAGAGTGTCGTCATTCCAGCACTTGAGCTGTCAGACTATCACCCCTTGCCAGCTCCCAGGGAGTGCCCAGGGTCAGATACTAGGACAAAGCAGGAAGGAGTCCCAAAGGAGCAGAGGACTGTAGTTTCATACCAAGAATCTGAGACACAGGCCATCCCTCTTCCTTTTCCTAAGAGGATAGAAATCATTGAGTACACCCACACAGTTACATCACTTGATCACACTGGGTCAGGTAGTGAAATAGCCACCAGTGAAGGGAGTGGGGAACAAGGATTAAGGAATGTGAAAGTAGAGAAGTCTGTCACTGTTCTCTGTGCTCTTGATGAAAATCTGAACAGGACTCTGGACCCCAACCAGGTTTCTTTGCACCCTCAAGTGCTACCTCTGCCTTGTTCTTCCTCTCCTGAACATGATAGACCCACCAACCCAACCTCTATGAAGAGCACCCCTGAAGACAGGGACAGCATCCCATCAACAGCCCTGGAGACAGTAGCACCTTTTGTCAGTTGCACAACCCACATACCATCTGCCACCTTGGATTACCTGCATCCCCATACCGTGGTTCACCTGGAAGGCTTCACAGAGCAAAGCAGCACCACAGACAGTGAGCCCTCTACAGAGCAGGTTAGCTGGGAAGAAAGGCAGGAGGATCCCCTCTCCAGGGGATATGAAGTGACCCACATGGGTTCTCAGTTCAGTAGTGAAGACCTAAGTGTAATTGGCAAACTCAGTGATAGCATTGGGGAGTTACAGAAAAAAACAGACCCATCACCTGTAGCTTGTCGATTCCCACATAGCTCCAGTAGTGAAGATATAAAGAATCTCAGTCACAGCCCTAATGTGGTAAAGGAGCGTGCTAAAGAAATTGAGTTGCGAGTGATTTCCCAGGCAGGGTTCACCAAACCATCCCAAATGAGGCGATCAGCTTCTCTCGCCAAGTTAAGTTACCTGGACCTCTGTAAAGACTATTTACCAGAGTCCCCTCATCTCAAATTGCTTCAGCCTTTCATCAGAACAGACTCAGGCATGCATGCCATGGAGGCCCAGGAGCTCCAAAAAAAACCAGGTGCCCCCCAGAACCCAGAGCCCACCAAGTATTTTGTAGAACAACTCAAAACAACAGAGTGTATTGCACAGAGCAAGCCAGTGGAAAGGCCTCTTGTGCAGTATGCCAAAGAATTTGGTTATAGTCAGCAGTGTTTGCTCCCCAGGGCAGGACTGGAATTGACTAGTTCTGAAGGAGGCCTTCCTTTGCTACAGACCCAGGGACTGCAGCGTGCAGGCCCAGCTCTAGGGGTGGCTGTGGCAACTCGTCAGCAACATGGCAGAACTCACCCCCTTAGGAGACTGAAAAGGGCAAATGATAAAAAACGGACAACCAACCCCTTCTATAACACCATGTGATTCTGAGCCTACACATGTGATTTTCTTAGAGAAATGTTTGTAAAGGGGCAGGTGTAATATGTAAGGAACATGCACTTTATTGGTTAATTTTATAATATTTTGGTCATATTACTGTTCCTGGCGCATGCAGGGTTTGGGTTTTTCTTGGTGTGTATGTGTATATGTGTGTGTGTAGAGAGAGGTTGATTTGGACGGCAAGACCATTTCATCATTTTTTATTTTTAAAAAATTCTCAAACCTCAAAAAAAAGAGCTCATTTTCAAAGAACACCTTTATCAAAGGCAAATTGCTGTTTTTCAATGAACTGCCACCTGCTTCTCATTTTGCTGTCATGCTTGCTTGATTGAGGGAAGGAAGCAGATGGGGAGGGTGGCACTGAAGCTGGGAATTGGAAGTGCTGGCCTAGGCCTTTGCAGTGATGGTTTCTAGACCTGAGGCATCAAATGGGCTGAAGAGCAGCCAGGACATTACGGTGCCCTCGACCTTCGTCTCCACTGTAACCCTGTGGAGTTCCTGAAGTAGGAACATTCCACTCTGCTTTAAAAGGAGTCTTCTAGAACCCATTTCTTCTGATATTCCAGAGCATATCAGTACAGAAAAGCATGTTGGCTTTGTAAATTTACCAAGCAACTAGTTTTTTCCCCCAGATGGTAATTTTTGAAATTAGATTAAAAAGGAACCTGGAGTGAAATCCAAGAAGTCTTCTGTAGAGGAGAACATGATAAGAGGGAGGAGCATGATAAAAGCTAAGGTTGGAGAGGCTGCTGCTGCTGAGTAACTTCTGGCTTGGTACAGTCCATGCAGCTGATCACTCTGGCTCCACCTGCCAGGAAGTGTGCTCTGCAGCACCCTCTAACTGAAACAAAGTAGACAAGTTTGAAAAACAGCAATCAAGTCCATGTGTTCTTGTAAAATGAATAAATATGTAGGGTTTTAACCCTTCCATTACTTGAATAATCTATGGGCCTTTTAGTTTAATGGCCATATTTTTTTCCAATTTCTTTTCCTCCTCCATTCTGTTTCCCCTATCCTGTTTTTTTAATTTCTTAGATTATATTTGAATTGTTACATATGTATAACCTCCATTGAATGCAGAGTTTTCTATATTATCACTGTTAACACTTGACATAAGATTCCCCCCCCTTCTGGAAAGTTTATCATTTCTCTAAAGTTTATACACAGTATTTATGTACATAATGTCACTTTCTTACAATGTTTTGTTGTTAATATTGTGGGGTCTTTTGATTCTTTTTAAAGAAGGAGTAGAGTTGCAACTGGAAAACAACACAAAGACACCAGAAATAAACTTATAGTTGTTGATAGGAATCTGCGCAGTACATTGATGGTGGTTTTAATTGTTTAAATGGAGACTTTAATCACCAGCTCCTGCCAAATGATGCATTAGTAACTTCCTCCTTAGAGAAAACCCTAAAGGCTCCCATTAGATCACAGTGTGACCGAAGGCTGATTTCTGTTCGAGACTAAAATCCCACAATGTTGTTTGCCAGTAGCAGAATCACAGCCAGGGAGTATGTGTTACCCAGAGTGGAAGCTCCTAATAGAAGCCTGGGCCACAGGCAAGCACCCATAATGACTCCATTTAGGATATTGTTGCTTTGCTGCTGTGTGGAGAGCCTTAACACAGGAGCACCTGCCATAAACAAGCCTCTTTGAGCTTCTTACAGAAAACATATTTAGCCTGGAATAAAATACCCACCACAGCTCATCAAAACTGAAAAGGCTTGCAAGTTTGCTTCCTGTTTGCTTTGGTTGATGTCCACATTGCTGAGAATTGGCTGAGTACAAACTTGAGACTTAGGTTTTTGGCTCACGAGAGCCCTGAGAGGAAGAGACAGATGTACAGACTTCAAGGTGATGTCAGAGGCCAGAGTTCAGAGGGGGCAGGTGGTAGAATGACCCAAAGGTCCAGATAAACTTGACCAAGGCCATTTGTAGGCGCTCCAGAGGAGCCATGGACCCAGTTGCCATATGGAAGCCATGGTTGTGTCTGACATCACTGCCAGGAAGCAGGTTGGACAGCCAGCCCCGTGTGGAAAGTATCTTGTGATATAATAATTTTGTGTACCTGTGCTATCCTTCAGTAGTTCCCTTATGTGTTAAAATGTGTCATCCACGGAGCTTTGTGATTCCTGGATATTTATGTGTTGTAAAATATTTTGTTAGGTGGTATGTACCAGTGTGAAGAGGCTCACAAGACAGGGTGATGAATTCCAGGACTCATCTGTCTAAACCACCCCGTTTTGTTGAGGCTATTCCACCACCAATAAGATGGGCAAAGGACAAGAAATTGTGGTGGGGCTGGGAAGGGGGATGTGCATGGAGGGTGAGAGTAGCATCCACATCCCACACATTAAGAAGTAAAGCAGTGTGAACAACATGGCACTGTGCGTGTTTCTCACCTGCCACTGTGTTTAATGCTCACTCAGTGCATTAAATACTAACAAAGTTGGGCAGGAAACCCTCTAATGCTGTGAAAAAAAATAAAACTTTATTTTCATAAGGAGCAGAAAAACAGTCTTGCTCTGCTTTCCTTTTTTAATTATATTTTTTTAATAATTTAACATACCTACCTAAATGAACGCCTTCTACACAACCATGCCAAGGGGTCTTGCCAGCCCTCTCAAACCCCCACACTTGGGTGTTCTTGAGTTATGTACATGGTTGAGCAGTGTCAGGTTCAGGGGGCAGTTGAGAACTTTCCAGACTTTCTTTTCTTCAAACTTTTTGATAATACTGGGTGGCCGGTCTCCCTTTTCTGTTCATGGAAAACCCAGACCTGGAACAACAGGTTTGGTAGATTAATAGAGATGAATGGGAAACCTTGATCTCTTGTCCAGTGCCTCTCTTTATCTCTTTCTTTCTTTCTTTCTTTTTTGAAGATCACCATAGTCTTTCAATAACTGGAGGAGTATGTGTGCATGTGCATGCATAAAAAGAGTTGACATTTTGGTACATGGGGTAAAACTCCCCAGGAGGACACAGCTGTAATCTAGGTAGTTACCTGTGATCAACAGGAAAGAAATAACAACCCTTTCTTTTGGAAACATTTAATAGTGTACACCACAGTTCTGTAATATGGTAGTATTCCTCCTCCTCCATTTTACTTGCCTTTCAGATTCTATTTAGAACATCTGTTTGAGATCATTCCTAGAATCTCAGTCTCTGACGCCTCTTTAGTGTTTTCCTGGTTCTGTACCTTTGTCCCAACTTGCATTTCCTTTTTTCTCATTTTGGGAACTACCAGAATCTCTGAGGACAACCTGAGGATGATACCTCAGGCTTTAAAGTCCTTCTTGCTCACGGGCCCCAGACAGATGCTGTCAGGTAGACCTGAAGCTTCCTATGAGAAGCTTTAGAGACATAGCAGTTCACAGAAGTTCTTGCCTACTTCTCTGAGGATATCACTTCTGAAGTGATCTAGGCATGTTTGGTAAAGATGTTTTGTGGGAGTTGTTTCTTTTTCCTAAGAAAGCATTATGCAAAAAGTCACTTTAAAGGGCATTTTAAAATAAAGCCATCTTTGGCTTTTACAGACAACTTTGTGGGTACTTGGTTTACATTGTATTAAAATATGCATCATCATGTTGACCATTCAGTCCTGTAGGCACCCAGGCCCCAGCTGTCCTATGGGTCCTCACATAAAGCAATGCCATGTCAGCCCTTGTGGATAGGTGGGTAAAACCTGGAGCTGACTTTCATCTGTGTCCTGCACTCCCGTCCAGCGCTGTCTATTAAATAGTCGTCATTTCTTCAGTGGCAGTGTGTCTTAATAGTGATGGTCGTAATGGTGAATGACTAGTATGGTTTTTGTTTAATATTGCTTTGCTTTTTGATAGTAGACAACATGAAATTTTATTTGTTTTAGCACCATTGCAACTTATAGCATTGTGGACTTTGTTTTCCATTCCAAACTAAAAGATCAAGGCATGTATTAGACATAAGTGTATTTGTTGCCTCAACTCACCCAACATCCATATTAGAAAAAGACCTGCCACCAAAGCAGGAAGCTGCACACTCCTAACCTTTCTCCCAGAGATTGGGGTCCCTTGACGCCATGGAGAGCTATTGCAAGGTGCTTCTGTACTTTTCTAGCCTGGAAATGGAAGATGACTGAGCCTGGTTTTTGCTATGAAAAGAAAACCAGCCTCATCTTCTCAATGCCCCAGAGATCTAGGACAGGATTTCTAAACTGGAATCATCCTTATTATCTTGAATATCCCCCAAGAGGTGTATGGCTGGTATTGCCATCTGTGTCCTCACAGCAACACTGGTGGCAGCATACTGCATACACATGGAGAACTAATACCCAGCCCTTAACTCAAGCTGGTAACCCAAACTGAAAACTGGGGAACTGGTCCTTAAATGTTTTCTAATTAATAAGGCCACGGAATTGTTTGATGTTTATGTTTTGTTGGATTTTGGTTTCCTGGCATTGCTAAAGGTGCCTTTTTTTGTTTGTTTGTTACCAACTTTATTTTGTAGAATTTGTTCTAAACATGGAAAACAAGTCCAGAAGACTCACCCACTGACTGTTACCTTTGCCCAGGCTACCCCAAAATTTATGCTCACATTTTATTAAATAAAGCAGGTGCTCCCTGGAATCTCTGGGACCTTTTTGAGGCATTTGAAGCAGAATATAAAGAGTGGTCTCATCTCCTTCCTTAATCTTCCTGGTGTTGGGATGTTCCACTTGTATCATAGATTTTTTTTTATTACTGATGTGCTCCACTGTTTTTAAATGTGAACTTGTGCGCAAATGTGCAGATTCAATGTTCTTGTTACAGATTGAATAAATTTTTATTTTGAAGATGAAATGTGTATTCGATTAAGTGTTATAAAGGAGGGGGGGTGCTGAGAAAGGTGGAAGGGTTGGAAGAAGAGGACACCAAGAACAGGTGCTCTTGATCTCAGTCAAGCACACCCTAAAGAGATCTAAAGTAAAGAACGTAACCTTCTACCTTTCATAAAATAGAAGACTGGATAGGAAATGGAATCACTAAAAATTAAGACAAGCCAGACACAAGGGTTCACTTATGTAATCCCAGTAACTTGGGAGGCTGAGAAAGGAGGATCACAAGCATGAGGCCAGTGTCAGCAACATGGTAAGACTCTGTCTCAAAAAAAAAAAAAAAGTGGTGGAGTGGGGCTGGGAATGTGGCTGAGTGGTAAAGCACCCCTAGGTTCAATCCCCAGTACGGAGGGGAAAAAAAAATGGTTTCAGACAGTATGACTCCAGTCAAGTGACCAAGCTGGGAACTTGCCTGGTCAAAGACATTTGCCAAAGCTACCACCTGAATGTTAGCAGAATGAATAAGCAAAGGGACCAAAATTCTTCCACCCTCTGTGGTGCAGAGTGACTGGATAGGGACAGCTGCAGTGACCTGCCCTAGCAGAGGCAGAATTTGGGTGAGTGACCTCTCTATAGACATTAATGAGAGAGCTAACATGCTTTTAGCACAAGCTCACTGAAAGCAAGGAGACATGAGTTTCCAAAGAAGTAAAAACTTTTAACTCTCCCACCATAGAAGAGAAATATTTGATGTCAGTGACATAGGGAGAAGACAGAGCCTAAGAGCAATTCTAACAAATGAGCTGGGGGTTGGGTGTCTCCTTCCCACCTCTCCACAGATCCATCAGAGATATTTAGTGATGCTTTTCATCACTACAAGAGAGTACAACCATCTAGAGAGAGCTCACTTCCCAGGCCCCAGCAAAACTGGCTGAAGCTTCCAGAGAAAACACTGCTGAACTAAACTCGGCCTGCTTCATTCTGAATAGTGTATGTCAAGTGGGAGGGGCACACCACTGGTTACTAAGAGAGTACAGATCTGAAACCTCAAATCTTGCAAAATATCCCCCCCTAGAAGATCAGAGAACTCACAACTTGGGACATAGTAAAAGATAAGTTCACTTCACTAAATGTTCTAAGAACACTTGGGGTCCCTAATCAGTCTAATAAGCTAATCTTGGCGTTCTAGCTGAAGCAAGAGGATGAAATCAGAGCTAACTTGCCAGAAAAATGACTTCATGAGATGAAATCCCAGCCTGTCTCTGTGGAGTGCAGTTCAGAACCCATCTGGGAGGGGAGGTACCAAGCCCAAACGGCTTCTTCCGCTGATAAGTTCTTCCGGGCCTTGGCTCTGCTCACCCACAGCTCGACCAGACCTTGGCAACCTTCAGAAGGCTGGAGGGCTGGACTGAGCCAGCCAGGGTCAAGCAAATACCTGTGAATCCTTGCTGCTGTTCTCAGAGCACCCCTCTTCCCAGGTAATGAAACTGAAGGCAAGATGGACTGAGATCGGGGCTGGGGGTGTGTCTCAAGCAGTAGCAGGCTCACCTGGCATGCGTGCGGCCCAGGTTAGATCCTCAGCACCACATACAAAGATGTATCTGCCGAAAACTAAAAAATAAATTAATTAATTAAAAAAAAGAAAAAAAAAAAGATGGACTGAGACCCCTGCGTCCTAGTCACATACCCTTCCCTCTAGAAGGAAGTCCCCCAGCTGTCTTGAAAGTAAAAGAAGGGGTAGGGTGCCATTTCAGAATAGGAGACAGACGTCAAATCTCTTCTCTGCCAACAAATGAGCTAGAACTCCACCCAGTCCACTTCATTTTATAGCCCAGAGAGCTGCAAAAATATGGTTGAGCCAGGATTGCCACCTCAGTTTTCTAATTAGTCCAAGCAATCTTTCCTCTTCATTGTGCAGCATCAGATCCTTAGAGATACTTGAGATAAAGTGGCACTGCCCTTCAAGGTGAGGCAGAAATGCATACTGTTGAAAAGCATGGGCCTATATGTCAGACCCTGGGGCAAGAACCTCAGCTTCACTAATCACCAGTTAAGTGATGGATAAGCTTCTTAACTTATTTGTGCCTCAGTTTCCTCATCTGTAAAATAGAGATAATCACAGTACCATCTCAGAAGCTTGTTACCAGAATGTTATTAAAATGTGTAAAGCCCCTAGAATAGTGCCTAGCTCATGGTGTGAATTATTGATATCATAATATCAATAACTGAGTCACTCTGGTCTTTTTCTCCTATACATGTACCTGGAATCATTTTAGGTAAAAGAGAGACTCCTCATCCATCCTCATAGTCCCCTATGCCATGAATTATTTCTGGAGCATCTGTGACAGTTTCTGATTCTGTTCCCCTATGAGCCACTGAATACCTGGACTCATCCTGAAAAACAAAGGAGCCTTGTGGTGACCCTCATGGTTTCCACCACCTTCATTCCTCCTCTGCCCATTGCTGGTTTCTGCCTTCCAGAAGGCTGTATGCTGCTGATTCCAGCTCTTTAGGCCCCAACCAAATTTGCTGAAGCTTCCAGAGAAAACACTGCTGAACTAAACTCAGCGTGCTAAAGTGGGAAATAATGTTTATCTCCTCCTTGACCTTGGTAAATAGATCTGTGGGTCTTGGGGGAGTGGGAGGAGGCTTCCCTGGAACGGAGTTGGCGCCAGCTCATGCAAGGTCCATAGGACATTAAGAGGCTAAGCATCAGCCTCTGAGGTGGCTACTCTGACCTCTGAATGTGTTGGAGGGATGGACACCGGTCTCTAAGCTGCTTCCTGTCCTGCTCCATGGAATTGTCTCTAATGGGCGAAATGTCTAACATAATGCCATGGTCTTAGGTTTTCAAATGATCACTGTCGCTATTATTAACAGTAACATTCACAGTCCCTGGTAAGGTATCCTCGCTGTTGCCCCGGGCCAGTCTAGGCTTTTATCCAAAAACTGAGATTCCCACAGAGCATCTTCTGGGGACTCTTCCCTGCGGGACCTGGACGTGCAGTCCCGCAATTTCGGCCCGCAGGACAGGTTAAATTACGAGAGTGACTGTGGCAGGAATGCGGCACGAAGGCACCTGGCCTCGTGCGCTACCCTCTCGGGGCGTGCGCCCACTCGTGAATTCCCTCCCTGGGTCTGAGGACCAGCCTACCTGGGAAGCGCGGAGGGTAGGGTAGGAGCTCGCGCAGCCCGCACACCCACGAACACTTACTTTCGACGTTTTTCCGAGGCCCACAGACCCTGGGCTGGAAGTCGGAGGCGCTCCCCTTTCCCGCCGCTAAAGAGGGCGGGGCAGTTTGGGCCCTGGCCCCGCCCCCGCCCAAGGCCCCGCCCACTCAGGTTGATGGCAGCGGCAGCTGGGACTGCAGCGGACCGCGGCCCTGGAGAGCCTCAGGCAGCGGCCCGAGCCTGACACCCGGGCCCCAGACACCCAGAGAGGCAGTTCTGGCGCCCTGACGCCTTCCTCGGCCCCCGGCGAACCACGGCCCGTTTGGCGGAGGAGTCGCAGCGTGGGCACCCCGCAGCCCGGCTCGGGACCAGGTACACCCCCACCACCGGCAACCGCAGCCAGCGGAGCGGGCGGGGTCTCTGGAGAGACAAAGGTCTGCGCCCCCTCCCCCAGCCGCCAAATTGGGTCCCAGGCTGGGCAGACTTGGTGTCTATATTTGGCCGGACCCAGGCTCGCGCGCAGACACCTTTCACAGGAACGCAGTGCTGGGGCCGGAGGCAGGAGGAGGGTGCGGGGAGGCCGGGCCATAGGCCTGGGCCGCAAAAGTGTTTTGAAGGGCACAGGGATGCTCCGGGCTGGGAAAGGGCAGGAGTCAATGCCCCTTTAGGAGAGCTTGGTGTGCCCTTCGGGAAGAGTAGCATAGCATAGGCACTGGCTCATCACTCTCCCCACCCCTACAAATCTGGTCCTGCCACCTAGGGACCCCACCCCGATGCGAGTTTACAGGAGGAAGGCCCAAGATAGGGCAGAGAACCCCAAAAAGAAACTGGACCAAAGTATGGTAGGCAAAAGCCAGAAGACATGTTTCTGGCCTCTTGAAGAAGCAAGTGCAGACAGGAATGGAAGGGGGAGAGGTCCACCTTACAACTATGCCCACCCTCTCAACAGCATGAGAGGAAACTGATGAAAATGGTAGCAGGAAGGACTCAAGTTGGCTGATAGGAGGAACTTCTTGGCAAATTTAAGAATAAAGCAAAACCCCATTTTCCTGAGATGCAAGCTTGGATCTGGGGTGGGGTGGGGGAGCCTGCAATCCTAGTCCCATACTAGCCTTGACACAAGATCCAGTGGCCACCAGGCGCAGGGGTTCACCTTGTAATCCCAATGACTCAGGAGGCCGAGGCAGGAATATGACAAGTTTGAGGTCAGTCTCAGCAACTTAATGAGGCCTTGTCTCAAAATAAAAAATACAAAGACTGGGGATGTAGTTGAGTGGTCATGTGTCCCTGAGTTGGATCCCAGGTAACAAAACAAAACAAAAAATCCAATGGCCAAGCTCTGTGATTCCAGACAGGATGCCTCTAGGAGATACGGTGACTTTGGTGAAGAGATGTTCATACAAGGAGGATCACCTGGCTCTTCACAACACCATTCTCTCTTCCAAAGAGTATCTGGCTTGGGTCTCTAGTCAGGTCCTAAATCCTAGCTCTTTAGATTAAATAGCACTTGACAGGTGGCAAAGAACCGTCCCATACTTTGATCACTTTGAAGAAAGTTGCTTCCAGAAGCTAACTCCTGGCCAACTACCCCTTCTCACTTACTGTTCTCTCCACTCCTCCTCCCTCCCACAGCTCACAGGACTAAGGACCAAAAGCACTCTGGGCACTGAGATCCTCCATCTCGGCCCCAGCCATGAGCCGGCGTGTGGTTCGGCAGAGCAAGTTCCGCCATGTGTTTGGGCAGGCAGCAAAGGCTGACCAGGCCTACGAGGACATCCGTGTGTCCAAGGTTACATGGGACAGCTCCTTCTGTGCTGTCAACCCCAAATTCTTGGCCATTATCGTGGAGGCTGGAGGCGGAGGTGCCTTTATTGTCCTGCCTCTGGCCAAGGTGAGGGATGAGGGGAAGGAAGCAAGTGGGACGATACTAGTTGGGGCCCCTGGGGATTCCTGACAGCAGCCTGCGTTCTCACCTTAGTTCATTCCTTAGTCAGGAGGACAGTTTGTGTGGACTGACTACTTGCTCTTCTGTAAGCCTTCAGGAACCAGTGGGGAGACTCCCTCACCCACTCTGAGCAACAGTGTCACAGGGACCTACATCCGCTCCTTAGCCCATTCACCTCTGCATGCAGCATCCTGTTCCAGCAGGAACCAGGACAGGGAGTCTGGTGATAGAAATGATTGGGATGCACTGGAGCCAAGGCATGGCCAGATTTTGTCCTTGGGTTTCCTAATGTCATGCCATTCCCCCATATTTTGGACTGGAGACCCTAGTCCCTAGTTCAGGGTGACTGATTAAATCTCAGAGTAGCACACTGAGGACAGGGTCAGGCTCTGTCCAAATAGTCCCTGGGTACCTACACCACCACTATGGTTCTTGCACTGAGGTAGAATGACAGCAAAGCATAGGGGGACATAAAACATAAGGTCAGAGCCCACCCTTTCCTAGGGAAGGGAGCTAAGTAATGACTGACCTTTGCTGACCCTTCACCATCTCTAGCCCCAGAATGGGCACCCCAACACATGACCTTGACCTGGGTTCTGGCCCCTATACCTTGTTGGGGAGGCCCCTTAAGTGGCAGGGTCGGGCCTGACAATAGCTGGTGACTCACCCCTGACAATGCAGACACCATCCAGAGACACCATCCCCGGGGATCAAATTTCAGCTAGAGCTGCCTCCTCCCCCAGTCTCACTGCCATTTCAGTGCCACATAGCCACCTCTCTCCCCTACTGCCTAGTCTGAGCCAATGCTGGCCCCAGCAGAGATCTCAGAGCTGCTACAAGTAGTCTATGAAGACCCAAAACAGGTGGGCCCCCAGCCCCAGTTTAGGAATAGTAAGTATCAGGATTGTCTACTTCTTGTGGTCCCAATGTTAAGCCAGTGACAGGGAGAGACCTGCCAAGGCTGGCTTGGGGCACTGCACTAAATACTACCTCACCTTAACCTCTTCTACCCAGGGCTTCCCACAGATATTCCAATTGGGGAACAAGCTCAAGAATAGTCTCTTCCAACTAGATATCCTTTGAACTGCACTGGACTGAGAATGCTAGGCTCTACCAGTACCTTGCTATGGGTCCTTGGTTAAGACATCTTACCTCAGTGTTAGATTCCCTAATATTAAATGATTTCAACTCTACCTGCCTTCAGCATTCCAGGAAGTAGACTGGACAGGGTGGAGATACAGAGAACAGTCTACAAAGAGAAAGCAGATGATGGAAAATTGAGATGTAAACATTCTCTACTCCAAAAAAATACACAGGACAGGCTGGGTGGGGATGTAGCCCAATGGCAGAGCGATTGCCTAGAATGTGTAAGGACCTGGGTTTGATCCCCAGTACCACACACACCAAAAAAAAAAATTAACAAAAAAACACAGGTGAGTGGCCCCCACATCTCCTTTCTCTAACCACTCCAGACAGGAAGAGTGGATAAGAACTACCCCCTGGTCACTGGACACACTGCTCCTGTGTTGGATATAGACTGGTGCCCACACAATGACAACGTCATCGCCAGTGCCTCAGATGACACCACCATCATGGTAGGAGCCAGATGGATGCGGCTGGGCAGTTGGGCAGGGGAGCAGGGAGAGCTGCTTCACCTGTGCTAGGGAAGGTGATAAAGAGGTGCAGAGTCCCAGATCCCTGCCCAGCTCCCAGGCTATTTTTAGCTACCTGCCCACTCCCTCCCAGGATGCACTGCTCAAGACTAATTATAGCCATGAACAACTTGGGGCCCAAAGAGCAGGGGGCAATGCTCTGAAGTCTCTCTGCTAGAGTGAATGAAGTCTCTGGAGAGCTGACAGTGCCCCCTCCTGGTTTCCAGATGCTTCTGCCCCAGACAGACACCACCACATCTTGCCCTGTATTTGATCCTTCCCACTCAAAGAGAGCCAGTTAAGTGGAGGCAGGGGAGGAGAGAAGGATCAGAGTTGGCTACCTTTACTTTTTTCTCCTACCCAGGTGTGGCAGATTCCAGACTATACCCCTGTGCGCAACATTACAGAACCTATCATCACACTTGAGGGTCACTCCAAGCGTGTGGGCATTCTCTCCTGGCACCCTACAGCCAGGAACGTCCTGCTCAGTGCAGGTCTGAGGGCCTAAGGAGGGTTCTTACTGTAGATGAGAGTCAGGGGGACAAAGGCAGGTACCAGGTGACCATGCCTGTCTACTCTGGACAGGTGGTGACAATGTGATCATCATCTGGAATGTGGGCACTGGGGAGGTGCTGCTGAGCCTGGATGAAGTGCACCCAGATGTCATACACAGTGTGTGCTGGAATAGCAATGGTAGCCTGTTAGCCACCACGTGCAAAGACAAGACCCTGCGCATCATTGATCCCCGAAAGGGCCAAGTGGTGGCGGTGAGTGCCTGGCCTGGCCACTCTCTAGCAGCCTTTCCCAGTGACCAGCTGTTAGCACCCTATACCCACAATCATCAGAGCTGCTAGTCCCAGCTTTCACCTGCCCCATCCCTATCCCACTAGTCTAAAGACTAGTCGTCCCCACCCCCACCTCCGCACCCATTCCCCCGCCCCTGCAACCAGAGGTCCCTTCCTAAGAAAGCCCCCAGCCTGCAATTCTCTGCCGTGGTTCCTGTTCCCTCCCCTCCCCTGCATCTCAGAAGCTCAGAGAAGGGCTCCTTGCTTTGAGATTGAGGGGAGAAGCTGGAAACTCCACCCTCCCACCAGAACCTGCATGAAACCTGAGCTCCGGGACCCTCTCCTCTCTGCCGAGGACCCTCTCTCCACCATCTTCCAGGGTCTGGGGCCTGCCCATTGAATGGAGGACTGGCCCCTTGCCGCCTTTGTTGACCTGCTGGGCGGGAAATGGGGACAACCCTCGCGCGTTGCTTGTCGCAGCTGGGTGCCCTGGGAGGTCAGCGGTCTTCGCCCATCCTCAATATAATCTGGAGTGTGGGGTGCATGGGGCGCGTGCAGGTCTGCGTAAAGCACGCAAGTCTAACGCGGCGGGGACAGTGAGTGGGCGGGCGCTCTAACCCACTAACCCCGCAAGCAGGAGCGAGCCCGACCTCACGAGGGCGCCCGCCCACTGCGGGCCGTCTTCATCGCTGACGGAAAGCTGCTCAGCACCGGCTTCAGCAGGATGAGTGAGCGGCAACTCGCGCTCTGGGACCCGGTAGGCCAGGCCGCGCCGGGCGCGCTTGCTCGCTCTTCTATTGGGTCAGCCAGGAGTGCCCTCCAGGCGGTGGCCCACACCCAAGAGGCCCGAACGGAGCAGGGAGCTCCCATTTGGGAAAATTCTCGCTGCGACCCCGGGAGCCAGCAGACATCGCCTGCTCTAGGGATCAACCTTTGAGGGAGCTTGCGGGCTCAGGATCTGCTGAGAGCCGCGCGCCACCTGCTCTCTCCGGGCCCAGACGTTCTCCATGCCAGGAGCCAGCCTTTGGCCCCGGGAAGCTGAGTTCTTAGGACCCTTTTTGTCTCTCCCCCGCCTTCAAGCCCCACACCCAAGTCAAGCAAGCTGGTTGCTCGGCCCTCCATGCTCTCCAGGGCAAGCAGCTGGGTGACGCCCCTCCCTTCTCCCCCTCCCCCAGGAGAGGTTTGCAGCCCACGAGGGGATGAGGCCCATGCGGGCTGTCTTCACGCGCCAGGGTCATATCTTCACTACGGGATTCACCCGCATGAGCCAGCGAGAGCTGGGCCTGTGGGACCCGGTAACGCAGCTGGAGGCTTGGGGTGTGTGCCCCAGGGACTGGCATCACGGGAGAGGGGCCAGGCGCCCCCGACCCGCAGGGCATGCCCAACTTGGCAGGGCTGGAGGCTGCTGCCACCTCTGCAGCGCCTGCCATCCCCACACCCACCCCTCTGCCCAGTTTTGCTGCGTCGCCTGAAGGAGCTCGTGCTGGTGCCCCCACCTGGTGATGCCGAGTCCCTGGGGGTGGTTTGCGGTGACTGCATGTGTTGGCGCTGAGGGTTAATGTGCCTGGGAGGGCGAGTGATGTGTCCAGGGAAGGCACCTGTAAGCTCTCTGCCTTGGGAACGCATGGAATCGGGTGGACAGGAAGCCCCAAGGGGGTTCCGAAGTAGCACGGAACAATGGGCAGGGCTGGTCACTCCTCCTGTGCTCGGGCAGAACAACTTCGAAGAGCCAGTGGCACTGCAGGAGATGGACACCAGCAACGGAGTCCTACTGCCGTTCTACGATCCCGACTCCAGCATTGTCTACCTGTGTGGCAAGGTGCTCGCAGCTGGGCGGGGAGAATTTAGAGGGCAGGCTGGAGATATGAGGCCTGACCCTGAACCGACTGGTTTTGCAGGGAGACAGCAGCATTCGGTACTTTGAAATTACTGATGAACCACCTTTCGTGCACTACCTGAACACGTTCAGCAGCAAAGAGCCGCAGCGGGGCATGGGTTTCATGCCCAAACGGGGGCTGGATGTCAGCAAGTGCGAGATCGCTAGGTCAGCAGTCTTGGCCCCTCTGTCCCCCTACTCGTGTCAGATCTTAAAAAAACTGGGGCTTCCCTAATAGTGCAGTGTTTTGGAAAAAAGAAGGTGGGTGGTAGGATCAAACATGTCTTTTTCAGCTGGGTGACATCCCAGCACTCACTGGCCTGTCATTTTCTGAACTTGTTTCCTCATCTGAAAAAAAGATAAGGAACACGCCATCAGAGGTGTTTTACCCCAGAATTGATAATGTGTGTAAAGTGCAATGGGCATGGTAGGCGTTCACAAGTATTGACCTCCAACCCCTTGTTCCCAGATAAGAGAAGTTAAGGGGGTGGGAGTCTGCAAGGGTGTTGAACACATTTCCCTTACAGGTTTTACAAGTTGCATGAAAGAAAATGTGAACCCATCATCATGACTGTGCCCCGCAAGGTGAGGAACGGGAAAATAGGTCCGGCAGGGTTCCCCGAGGTGTTAAGGGAGCGCAGCAGGCCGGGTGCATAGACTCATACGGGACCTGTCCACCCACCCCCGCAGTCAGACCTGTTCCAGGACGATCTGTACCCGGATACACCGGGCCCAGAGCCGGCCCTAGAAGCGGATGAATGGCTTTCTGGCCAGGACGCCGAACCCGTGCTCATTTCGCTGAGGGACGGCTACGTGCCTCCCAAGCACCGAGAGCTCCGAGTCACCAAGCGCAATATCCTGGACGTGCGCCCGCCCACCCGCCCCCCACGCAGCCAATCGGCCAGCGACGCATCCCTGTCGGTAAGATTAGGCCTAGCTCCGCGTAGTCCCAGTCTGCACACCCCCTACCACCCTTCTCCGATAAAGGCTTCTGTCCTCTGCGCCTCAGCAGCAACACACCCTGGAGACGCTGCTGGAGGAGATCAAGGCTCTTCGCGAGCGGGTGCAGGCCCAGGAACAGCGAATCACGGCTTTGGAGAACATGCTCTGCGAGCTGGTGGACGGAACGGACTAGACCCGCTTGCTGGGAGGAGCTCTGCGCTCAGCTGGCTGGATGGGGCGGGGTGAATGGACTGGCCTTGCCAATGCTTTAGGTCTGGGACTCCGGACCCCACCTCCCTAAGCTGGGACCAGGGATTCAAATAGGAAGGAAGCCCCGCCCCTCACAGGAGACCTGAACCAAAGGAGTGTCTTGCAGGGGCAGGGCTGAATGCTTGGTCCAGGACTCAACAGGAGCTGGCCTAGGGAGGCTCAGGGTAAAGGGGGCCTCAGCAATGGTGCTGCATGGCGAGGTGGTGTCCCCCTCTGTCCCTCGCCCAAGGCAAGGGAAGTGCTTAGTGCGATGCTTGGGGATATTAGGGGGCTTGGGCTTGATGTCAAATGGGTGGTCTCCCCACACTGGCCCTTCTCCTAATCGGCTCACTTGATTCTACCACCCCACCAGACGGACAGCACTCCAGTTCTGCATACAGATACAGACACAAATCCGTTCCCCCACAGAGACCTACCCACTGGCAACATTGTCAATGGCGGAGAGTTCTATTTCCACCACCAGGGGCGAGGTGAGCTTCCTCAAGACAGGCCCCTCTGGAAGAAATCTCATAACTGACATGAGGAAACAGGTTCAAAACACACACACACACACACACACACACACACACACACACACACACACGCACTGCTCCCAGCCCTTTGGAGACAAAATGAAATCTTTTACCGAGTGCAAGTTTGGGCCTCCAGCATCGGTGGGGGTGAGGAGATGCCCAGCCTCTGTGAATGTGATTCCCCAGACTCCTGGGGAACCTAACAAATGCAACCCTGGGCTCAGGACTCACTAGGGAACCTCTTACCCAGAGCCTTCCTCAAGGCAGGTTTGGCAGTACCTGAACCCCTACCCACTGTGGGTACTCCTCCCCAGTAAAGTCAGGTAGGAAAAGCCTCCAGTTTGAAGCCTCTTTTATTTGTGCCTCATAATCAGTCTGGTGCCCCTGGCATCAGGGAAGGGAGTGGGAGAAAGTTTCTCTTTGTTGCTCTATTCTTCTGTCCTTCTGAATCTCACTGGCTGAGTCAGGGAAGGTCAGTCCAAGAGAGACCAGAGACAAGGGTGTACTGTGGGTCCCTTCCCCTGATGGGGTCTGTGCTTCTCTGGGTGGGTGAGGAGGGGCAAGGGAGAGCCGGGGGTTAGCACCATTGGATGAAGGGTTTTACAGTCAGCCCCTGAATTGGGGCAATAGGGATGCACAACCACAGAGGGCTAGCAGCAGCTGGTGGGAAGGGGTGGGTGGTGGTGCTAGGGCCCTGGGCGACCCCTTTATATCCAGTTTTGTGTCGGGTCTAGTGCTTGCCCCCAGCCCAATGTGCCCTCCCCCGCCCCTACTACTCTCCAAGGCACCATGAGGGAGTCCGGTCTCACCCAGGCTAAAGGCCCACCGTGGACACACTCCCTGATCACAAAAAACGTGCCTTGGGGATAGGGACTTCAACTTCATGCTGCCCAAGGCGAAGCTGGGACCACCCTGAGACCCTGGACGGGTGGGGGGGGGCTGGGGGAGCCGGACACCCCGCTAAGTGCACTTGACGCTGAAATGCCGGGGTGGGGGAGGGGCTAGGCTCTTGACGTGCTGGTTTGTGTCTGGGACAAAGCAGCGACACAGCACGCAGAGAGCTCCGCTGCCTCCCAAGGGCGAAGAGCAGAGATGCAAAGGCTTCAGGGGCAGTGACCCAAAGAGGAGTCAGTGAGCAGAAAGGAGGACCCGCCAGGAGCAAGGGACAGGGAGGGACACTGCTCCTCTAAGGATTCATCTTCCCTTCAGGATCGCTTAGCTCCACCCTTGAACAGATTGGAGCCCAGAGGAACGGATTAGGAGCCAGGATATAGCAAAGCAGGGGAACCTGGCCGTGCCCGTTGCCTCCCTGGCTGGAAAGCTACCCTGCACCCATGTCAAGCCCCTCCCTGTCTAGTTCCTGGTGCACTGCTTCACCCCCCCGCCCCCGGGAGGTGGCTCCAGACTTCAGACTCCAGCCTCAGTTAGGCAAGGGGGGCCTGGGCATTTTCTCTCCCAGATCGGGCAGCGTGTGGGGTGGGCAAGGGGCCCAGCAAGGGGCGCTACTGCTCAGTCAGCGAGAGCCTCAGGATGCGCTCCAGCTCCTCCTCCTCCTGGCGCGCACGCCGCCGCCTCTCCTCCTGCTCCTGAGCTGACAGTTCCATTGCCAGCCGCAGCTGCTCGTCGTAGCTCCGGAACACGTGGCCGCTGGAACCCCGGCCGGGACTGGGCCGAGGGCTGGGCACCGGCGCTGGGGGCGTGGGCTGGCGCTGAGGCGTGGGCGGGGCGCTCCTGGGGACCGGAAGGATTTCTCCAGCGCTTCTGGCGTACCTGCCCATAAACCGGGCAGGAGACCCTGGGACACGTGGCTATGGGCTGCCCTGGCTCCATCCAGTGATGGCAGATCCTAGCACGACATCCTGTCTGGTGAGGTTCTGAATGCCCAGAGACCTGGATTTCACCTGCCACCGGAGCACTGCCCACCCGCCAAGTGCAGGGAAAGGGTGGTAGTAGACGCCATCTTAATTAGCAGGTAGGGGCCCTGCTGAGGGGACCTTGGTTCTCTGGGTCTAGTATCGGGGTAATGGTGTACTCTGTGCGTGGGTGTTGGGGGGTGGGGAGAGGTCAGGTGTCTCCAAGCCCTCTTTGGTCTAGCTGGTACTGACCTGTCCTGACGGCGACCCTCATAGGACATGGGGTGTGTGCCTGGCTTGCTGTTGGTTAGTGCCTCCCAGATGGTGACCTGGAGGGGAAAGCCTCTTAGCTGGGCAACCTTGCACACGCATGGCCTGGCAAGGCAGCAGGACGCACCTGGTCATACTCACTACCCGCCTCAAGCAGGCTCTGTTGGATTGCAAACTGGAGCAGGTCATCATCATCATCGCGGGTTGCTGCCTCCCGCTGGCCACCCAGCACGCTATAGCCTCTTGGGGCCTCGAATAATGCTGGGGAGATCTCACAGCCGCGGCAGGAGGCTGGGGGCATGGAGCTTCGAGTCAGACATGGATGTGGGCCTTTCCAGCACAACTCAGTGTAGTGGGAAGGAAAGCAAGCCAAGGTCAGAAGGGAAGACCCAGGGTAGGGGCAAGGCTCACTTGTGGAACTGGAGCTGCTGACACTGGAGGAGTCGCTGCCTGGGGAAGGGGTCTCGCTGCTGGGGCTGCCTCGAACCGATGGCACAGGCTCATCACAGCCATTGAGGTTCCCAAAGGTGATTCGGGCATTGAGAATGTGGAAGATCGGGATTTCTGAGGATAAGGAAATCATCAGGTGCCACCACCTAAACCCTCACACCTCAGGCCAGCTCCTCTAACCTCATCTAAACTCATCACACCCCTCCAAAAGGGATAAGGGGAAATGGCGTGGGGTCTCACCAATCTTCACTGGGAAACCAGGAGGCAGGCGCAGGGTAATGAAGTCCCGGAGCTTGGCGAAAAGTGCATTGCTAACAGCCATGAGGTCAATGATGGGGGCCACCTGCTCACACAGGGACAGGGGATGCTCCTCACACAGCCACAGCTTGGCCTTGAACCTGCCCCCCCAGATCCCAAGGGGTGAGGGATGCTTCAGGAAGCCATGGCCTCCCAGCACCTCCTGGAGCCCTAGCCCTGCCCACCCCTCCCCAGCAGGAGCGGGGTCCTCACTTCTGTGTCTTGGTAGTCAGTTCCATGGGCCGGCCCATGTCCCGGTTGCCAAGCTCGAAGTTGGGGTTGAAGTATTCTTCTGCAGTGATGGCAGTAGGGTTGGCTTGGCTCAGAGTTTGAGTGATCAGGGTCTGTTCCACATGAGGAAGAGCCATGAGCCCTTCTCAGTCCCTGATTCCAGACCAGCCAGTTGGTACCATAAGGACCCCAGGTCTCCCTGCTGCCAATGTGGAACTGACATAGGCTTGGGCATTATGGAAGGAAGGTCCACATAGGCAATGATAGGCAGGACACCTCCCAAGCCTCCTCCTGAACCACATCCACACCCCTCCATACAGTGACACCCCTGGCACACACTCACCCCATTTTGGGGACCCCCATGCTGCTCAGCAATTCCCAGGAAGGACTGCAGAGGTGTCTTACAGCCTACAAGAAATGCGGTATCTCAGGGGACACTGTAGCCCTGCACACATGTGGACATCTCATTAGAAGTGATAATATCGAAGACCTAGGAAAAAGGCTGGTTCCTGGGATGGGAGAACTGCTCACCCATACTTAGGTACCTTTATCTAAAGGTGGTTGAGGACTCCATGGGCAGAGGCCAAGAGCATAGCTATAATAAAAGTAGGCATAGGGCCCAGGAGAAACTTCCAAAAGTGCCACTCTCCATGTTGGTGATACCTCCCTTTGTTAAGTAATATACCTCCCTTTGTTAAGCAGCTTTGGTGTATGTACATGTGTTTCTCTTCAGGTACTTCCATATTAATGATTTCATTAATGATTTTGTTCTCCTATGTGGCAAGTATTATGTGTTTCTACCTGCAACAGATTAGCTGATGCCCAAAGAATCAGATGTGATACCAATGGGCACACAGAATCATGGCAGAGCTCCTGACTTCTTACCTATATAAATATATAAATTGTGCATGTGCAACATTTCCCTTCCCTCTGAAATGCAGCGCAGATATTAGTAATCAATTATAGGATGTCTTTCACTGAGCCCAAATGAGCCCTTAGAATCTTCCTAACAGTACCTAGGCAGCTGTATCAATCATTAGGGCTTGGGACTGAAACTGAAATCTATTTGCTTGAGTAAAACAGCCTGGTTCTTGCTGGACTGCCAGAGGGAATACCAGTGGAGGTGCTGAAGTGGGAACTGATTCCTCTAGTGCCACAGCACCTCCTCCCATCTGCCATGGCCCCATTACCTTTGACCTTGCCCTTGTGCTGTTCTGAAAGGTGCTCTGTCCGAGTCCGAGTGATGAGCTCTACATTGGATGCCCCATATACCTGAGGAAAGAAAGGAAAGGGCTCAGAGGCAGTTCTAGAACCACCACCCAAGGAAATTCTAAACAAATATATGATACTGTTCATTCGCTTATTCATTCAACAAACATTTTTTGAGGAGCTATTATATGTCAGTCATGAAAGTAGGCCTCAGGGATACAGTGGTGATCAAGACAGATACAATTCCTGCCCCCATGAAGGTCACATTCTAGTTAGACAATAAAAGGCAGTTATAACTTACAGCTTTGCAATTTGTTAGTTATACAGTGACTATACATGGTCACTGAACTACTCTAAGCCTCAATTTCCTCATTATAAAATGGCTAATAATTCCTACTTCATGGAATTGCAAAGAGTAAATGGGATACTATGGAAAGGGCTCAGGAAACATTTGTAAGATGGGGATAATAACAATACCTGCCTGAAAGGGTTGTGATCAGGATTAAATGCGTGTATATGTGTGTGCACTTGTGCGTGTGTGTGTATATCCATACAGCCATATAAAATGTCAGACCAGTGCCTCAAAGTGGCTCAGTAAATGCCAGTATAATCAGACGACTGTTAGTCTACTGTCACTTCTTCCTTGCAGCATTGCCTCTGCAACCTCCAAGGCTGGGGAAGCATGCTAAGGAAAACCCCTGCCCAGTCTGCTACAGCCTTACCTTGGCTTCATACCCGTTAACCATCTCTGTCTTCTCACTGCGCCAGCCCAGGATGCCGGTCTTATTCCTGGGGAAGTAAAGTGGTCCAGGTGAAGTGAGCACTGCACCAGTCTGGCTCTAGGCTGGCCAAGGCCATGCCCACTCACCTCTCAAAGGAGATGTTCTTGGTGTCAAGCTGCGTAGTGACCACAGGTGCGGTGAGCCGGCTCAGCACCTGCTCCTCTGTGGGCTGGGCGGCAGCCAGCAGCAGCTCCCTGTCCTGCCCAGCCAGTGCCAGAGTCTCTGTGTACACCACCCGGCGGTCA